CGACTTGGATACAAGTGTCTTATATGCAGCCGCAAGCACCGGGAAAATATCTGGAATCTGTCTTCAATTATTTATAAGGAAATATTAGAGAACACTTGGGCACAATTCAAATCTAAAACATACAAAAGAGTGGTGGGGGTGGATTTCGTAAGCATACAAAATAGAACCATAGAAGAGAAGCATTGAGAAATGCAGCTTCCGGTTCCAGAGTTCCAGCTTGCATCGAATCAAGAACAAATACAATGGTACCCATAAATCATAATTCAATTCAAACCACCATAACTTCCACAAACTTTTAAAATCAAACACAGACATCACTGTTCAATCACTAAATTCAAGCAAAACCTCTGGCACTTCAAAAACTGAAGAAACCCCGTACCGTATTCATCAGAAACTAACAATTTTATCCAATAAGATCGATCACATTATGCTAAAAACACAACAGTTATATGCATTACACCGAGATCTCCCCCATTTCTTGCCTCACTTAGTTCAAGCATTTCCTCAAACAGTTCGCGGATCACCAACAACAAACGTCCGGGGAGAAAAAAAAAAGATCAAAATATCGAATCCACATGATTTTTCAATGTTTGCCAAATTTTCACCTTAAAAAATCCAGATATAACAAGAGAGATAGAGAGTACTTGAAATCGGTGACGTTTATGAAAACAGCGAGAGCTAGACTGCTCCCGTCGATCTCGAACGACTTTCATGGCTACTCCGAAGACACAGAACACGCCGTAGGCTTCTTCCACAGTGCGATGGAGGTACGAACCAAGATGGGAAGTCCATCATTGAGAGATTTGTTTAGGGTTCATATCTGATTACAATTTGCGGCGGGAAGAATGATCTGAATACGTGGATTCGAAAATGTGTATCACTTTTATCACTAATAATAATATTTTACTTTTAATACTTTTGGCAAAATTTATAAGAAATTACCCAAATTTTAGTTTTAATATAATTAATTAAAAATGTAATAACTATATTTAAACTTGTAAATCAACATGAATAAAATTGTAAAAATACCAAAATAGCCTCATAAGGTATGCAACTATATACTATATAAGTGAAATTTACATTTAATTAACTGCCTGCCGAATATAGTTTAGCAGTAATATATGAATGAACTAAGACTACGTAGCAATCACGAGGATAGGATGACTAAGAATTGAACGAATTTTGAGAATTTTCTTAAGATACACGTGAATGAGGATAAAACATGTAAAAACTCGTGTTAGTTTGTGGGGATCGGTCTTAGAAACATTATTAAATAGCTTCATCATGTCACAGAGAAATGTCAGAGGCATTAGGTGTGTTGTCGATTGCTTCCCTGTCACGACCTCTAATATTAGTGGTTTCGAGTAGACTACTCGAACAAAAGCGGCTAAGAGTGGTTTCTCCCATTTTATGCCTGTCGGTTTTAAGAATGAGTGATTACTCTTCTTCGACTTTTACTATCCAACCGAATAGCGGACCGCTAATGTAGCACTTTTCATAATTTCTTCGCATGTGTCTGCGAGTGATTATCCTTCTCTTTCGTAAAATATTACCTCAAAAAAGAATGGCTGATTTGTTATTTGCTACTTAATAGTAAAAGTAAATGAATATTATGACTTAAACTCCTCTTAAGTTCATTATAATGGTCAAGAGTTGTGATTTTGACTTCATGTTGCCATTACCATTACGGGTGTCAAAATACTTTAAATTCAAGATCTCTGTTATTGGTGGGCTTAGACCGTTACAAATGGTATCATAGCCAGACATCGAGCAATGTACCAACGAGAACGCTGGGCTCCCAAGGAGGGATGGATTGTGAGTTGCTACATCGATTGCAAAGGGAAACGAAGCATTCCTTATAAGAGTGTGGAAGCCTCTCCCTAGTAGACGTGTTTTAAAATCGTGAGACTAATAGCAATACGTATCGGGCAAAAGTGGACAATATCTACCGGTGGTGGGTTTGGGTTGTTACAAATCGTATCAAAGCCAGACACTGGACGTTGTGCCAGCAAGAATGTTGGGCTCCCATGAGGGATGGATTGTGAGTTCCTACATCAGCTACAGAGGAAAACGAAGCATTCGTTACAAGGATGTAACAACTTCTCCCTAGTAGACGTGTTTTAAAACAGTGAGGCTAATGAAAATACGTATTAGGCCAAAGTAGACAATATCGACTAGCGGTGATTTTGGGTTGTTACAAATAGTATCAGAGCCAGACACTGGACGTTATGCCAGCAAAGATGTTGGGCTCCCAATGAAGGATGAATTGTGAGTTCCTACATCGGTTGTAGAGGGAAACAAAGCATTCCTTATAAACGTACGAAAACCTCTCCCTAATAGACGCATTTTAAAACCGAAACCCATTTTGATCCAAGTTTATACACATTCTTTAAGTATTTATTGGTTTGGCAGCACCCAAAGCATCCAAATTAAGAAACAAAGCCTTGATCTGACATAGTAAATTGAGCCTTCAGCACAGCAGTTTAATTTAGACCACAAACAGACAAGTTTTGTTCACAAAATGGGAGACCAAAAGGGAGACACCGCCAATTAGACAAAGCATTCAGCCATGAGGTTGCCACTCTTTAGATCATTTCTCAAAGGCATTGGCATTTAGTTTATGTAGATAATCCATGTGAAGGTAACCAAGGAAGAACATATGACAGTCAAAACTCCACATGAAAAGGTTTGAACAACAAAAGATTCTTTGACTGTCCTTGTAGATGCCAAACTTGATTGGTTAGGTGCATAGACAATTTATGTCGGGTTTGACCGACCAAAAGGTAATGGAGGTATGCAAAGGATGCAATAGCCTAAGTCCATCGTTAACATATGCTGTCTGCTTCGACTCGTTACGTATTATCGTCAGCCTCACGGTTTTAAAATGCTTTTACCGCATAGAGGTTTCCACACCCTTATAAGGAATGTTTCGTTCCCCTCTCTAACTGATGTAGGATCTCACAATCCACCTCTCTTGGGAGCCTAGTGTCATCGCTGACACACCGCTTGGTGTCTAGCTCTTATACCATTTGTAACAGCTCAAACTCACTGCTGACAAATATTGTCTGCTTTAGCCCGTTACGTTTATTGTCAACCTCACGGTTTTAAAACGCGTCTACTAAGGAGAGATTTCCACACCCTTATAAGGAATGCTTTGTTCCCTACTCTAACCGATGTGAGATCTCACAATCCACCTCTCTTAGGAGCCTAGACTCCTCACTAGCACACCACCCACCTTCAGGTACTAATATCATTTGTAACAGTCCAAACCCACTGCTAACAAATATTGTTCGTCTTGGCTCGTTACGTATCGCCTTCAGTCTCACAGTCTTAAAACGCGTCAACTAAAGAGAGGTTTCCACACGCTTATAAGGAATGCTTCGTTCTCCTCTCCAACCGATGTGAGATCTCACAATCCACCTCCATTGGAGGCCTAACGTTCTCGTTGACACACTGCCTAGTGTCTAGCTCTAATACCATATGTAACAGCCCAAACCCATCGCTAGCAGATATTGTCCACTTTGGCCCGTTACATATCGCTGTCAATCTCACAATTTTAAAACACTCGAAAGAGGATTTCACACCCTTATAAAACAAGTGTCTCATGAACAAGATGGGCCTCTATATATATAAACAAACCCCTCTAAGCCAATTCCCCAAGGCAAGTGAAGAACAGAGAAACCATTGAAACCAGCAAGCTTTTGAGCTCGTTCCTCCATGGATCCAAGAATCTCCTTTTCAAATGATTTTGCTGACACAAAACAGCCATTTAAGCTTGAAAACATGTACAGAGAAGCACCTGTTTCTTCTGATTTTGAGTTCACCGTGAAGAACAGATGTATGATACCAGCAGATGAGATGTTCTTTGAGGGGAAGCTGCTGCCATTGAAGAACAGCTCAAGGAATCTCTTGGTTAAGACAACTTTAAGAGATGAGCTGAAAGTGAATGAAGATTGTAATGATGTTTCATTTCCAAAGCTCACAAACACTTCTGCAAGCTGCTGGAAGCAGAAATTTGGGTTCAAAAGTTCTTCAGTATAAATGCTTTAGATTTGAAGATCCACCCACATTTTTATTCTCTCTTTTGTATGCATTTCTTGCTCCAAATTTTAACCCAAATAAGCCTTTGATCATGTTTGAAGCGAAGTAGGCGACGGGTATCGATGGTTTCAATGGCCACCGATCACTTTGGTGCCTTTGTTTAAAACGGTGAGATCCCACCTCGAGTGAAGAGGAGAATGAAGCATTCTTCATAAGGGGTGGAAGCCTCTCCTTGGTAGACATGTTTTAGAATTGTGAGGCTGGCGATGATACGTAATGGGCCAAACTAATATATTGTTAGCGATGAACTTGGAGTGTTATAAATGGTATTAGAGGCAGACACCGGGCGATGTGTTAACGAGGATGCTGGCCCCCAAGGGGGTGGATTATGAGATCCCACATTGGTTGGAGAGGGAAACGAAACATTCCTTATAAGGGTGTGGAAACTTCTCCCTAGTAGACACGTTTTAAAACTGTAAGACTTACGACGATATGTAATGGGTCAAAGCGGACAATATATTGTTAGCGATAAGCTTTGGGTGTTACAAATTGTATCAGAAGCAGATACCAGGCGATGTATCAACAAAGATGCTGGCCTCCCAGGGGTGGATTGTGAGATCCCACTTCATTTGAGAAGGGAATGAAGCATTCCTTATAAGGGTGTGAAAACCTCCCCTATCAGACATGTTTTAAAATTGTGAGGCTTACGATGATATTAATGGGTCAAAGGGGACAAAGCGATGGGTTTGGGCTGTTACAAATGGTATCCGAGCCAAACACCAAGTGATGTGTCAGCGGGGATGCTGACCTCCAAGGAGGTGGATGGTGAGATCTCACATCGGTTAGAGAAGGGAACAAAACATTCATGGTAAGAGTGTAAAAATATCTCTAAAAGTGAACGTGTTTTAAAACCTCTTATAAAAGTCCTAAGATAACCTAACCTAAAAAAACAAACGGCTCAAATATAACAACGATCTTCGATTTTTCTGGCGGGGACACTGAAAACCATATAAAAGGGAACGCTCATATTATTGTCGAAATCTCCGAGCTACGAATTTCTGGGGAATTAGAAATCAAATTAAGAAGATTGGATTTGGAATGACGAGCAGTTTCGCGAATCAAAGAGGGTCCCGATCATGGGCCACTGATGAGGAGTTGCCAGTGTCTAGTGGGGTTCCGATTCCACCCAAGAAAAAATGGTCAAATGCGATGCCTCTGTTCATCGCTCTCGTGGTCATAGCAGAAATTATCTTTCTGGGTCGGCTTGATGTGGCGAAAAATGTAGCCATGGTCGATTCATGGGCCGATTTATTCTACCACTCGTCGTCTTCTCGTGCAATGATCGGTGGAGATGATGGTTTACATTCCCGGTTACTCGACGGCGATCGGATCTCGGAATTGAGGACTTGCGAGGAGTGGTTGGAGAAAGAAGACGCTGTAACGTATTCTAGGGACTTCCAAAAGAAGCCGATATTGGTTTCTGGTTTTGATGAGGTTTCTTTTCTTTTGTTCTTTGTTTTTTTTTAGGTTTCTGCATCATGCTTCACTTGTTGATTGTATAATAAAATGTCCTATTATGATGTACTGCATCAATATGTTATTAAATCTACTGTTAGGCTTTGTACTGCATCGACTTAGAAATCCATGTAATGCTAGACATCATGTATTGATATCATTTGATATGCAAATTTTCCGTTCCATGTTCAATTTTCGATTTACAGCTTTATTTTTGCATGTATGGAGAGAGTTCCTATATTGGTTTTGTCTATTAGGAGCTTAGATGTTGATACCAAGATAGTTTCGTGCCATGATGCTTGGTAGGAATTGAGCTTGAATGTGCAATCCCGAAGTATGAGTCCTTAAAATGTCAAATTCTTCTTTAGTTCATGACTCTGAATAAAAGAATAATAATCCAACAAGATCCTTTGATATGCTTCTTCCCTCTCATCCTTGTTAGTTACAAGAACAGGCAAGCCATATCCTCATTCATTGCCATTTTGCTTATTTGGGTTTGAATGCCATTCATAAACACCCTCGGTCTCTCAGGATGTTTGCCTATAGACATTGAGAATGTCCTTATTCAACTTTTTGAAGGCTCTTGCTTCTCAAGGACGACCGGTAACATTTGGAAAAGTGCCTGAAAATCCTCCTTTAGCAAATGTGATAGTCAAGAAACATTAGATTTTCAAGGACAATATGAGGATGCTTTGAATGATTTTCTTAGGTATTTTAAATCGCCCAAAAAGTTATGTTTGAAGGCCTCGTGAAAGATTTTCTCCATTTTCCTGCTACTAATATACTGAAACTCGTTAATTCATGTGCAGAATTCAGAGTGACTAACTAACTATTCTCATGTCGAGATTTATTTCATGTGTACTTGAAGCTCTAAAATCCTAATTCTTATGTTTTTGCACCAAAAAAAAAAAAAAAAAAAAAAAAAAAAATCTAAATCCTAGTTAATTGTTCTCTATAGGGGAGGAAATCTTGTGCCGTAGGATGTGAATTTGAGGTCCATCCAAGTAAAGATTGGGATGCTGCTTTTGGTTTAAATCGTCAGAGTGGAAAGCCTTCAATTATTCGATCCATGGAATCATCTCTATATTATCCAGATAACAATATTGCCCAGGCACGACGGTGGGTAAGCACAATCTCTTTTCTTACCATTAGTTGTTTGTACAAAACTTCCCCTTTCTTAGTAACAGCAACTTTAATCTTTACTTCTAGGGTGTTTTTTTTCTTTTTATTTTTCTTTTTGTTCTTTTTTTCTGAATAGCTTTTCATTCAACACCCAGGCACTAAAATATTTGGGCATCCATGTCATGCATGATAACAAAAATCATGCATGGTTTGTTTGTTTTTCCATAGTCAATCTGAATGAGTGCTTGAAAATATTACCTAGTAGAGGAAGCTGCCAGTTTGATTACCCATGCAGGAAACAAAGGGCTTAAAAGGAACGCTGCCATAAGGTTGTATGTTATGGATCGAGAAAATTGGGGATTTGTAAAGGTTTCATGGGCTGTTATGGGTAGTTGCTTGCAATTGGGTTATGATGCTTCATTGGAAGTTAGTTGGGAGAAGTAGTCGTCAAAGGGAGAGATGGAAAGGAGGGAGGTTAGTTAGAGAGAGAAATGTGGAAATAAGAAAACCATTCTTAGTTTCAAGGAGATGTGGGTATGGTGGAAAATGGAAATGCTGGATGGAAGAAAGATTGAGTGATGTGGAAGAGAAGTTCGAGATGGATTTTGAGGGGATGCAGAGGGCATTCAGTTCCTAGAGTTTGATACAAAAGTTAATATTGATGGAGAGAAATATCAAGATCCTCGTGGAAGGGATGGAGCAGTTGGTTTAAGAGCACAAGTTGTTAGAGAACTATAATGTAAGAAGTCTATGTGGTCCCAAATACGAGGGTCGAACTAGTGATATGCAAGAGTTTTCCCAGGAGAAGAGTGAAAGGGAAGCAAGGGCATTGTGGTAGGAATGCATATTTGGTAGGCTCGTGTTCTGATCTATCAGGAGCATAGCGATTTAGTTGCTTTGAGGAGGCTAGGAAGCTTTAAAAGCTCAGTCATTTTGAGTGCAAAACATTGGCATGCTTCTATGCTCAACGGATGTAGAACTATCAAAGGTTAGGCGGAATTTAAGAATTACAATACAATTTCGCAGTCATGGATCATCTCAAGAAATGTGGCCATTTCATCCTTTTTTAGACATTCCTGTACAGTTCTGATTGCAGCGAGGTCTGTTCAAGAGAGTTTGTGGTTTTCCTAAAACAATTGATCACTTACGACAAGGACGGGGTACTTCTTAGTTCCCTTTGGTTGTATGTATTTAAGTTGCACGGTACATAGTTGAAAAGGGTTGGAAGTATCATCCTCAAACTGATGTCAGTTAAGGGTCATTTATTGATATGTGGAGACAGCCTTCAATGTTCTACTTCTACTCTGCTTGGGCTAGTTTTTGGGTCAAATGGTTACTGTATATAGAGTCTTGGTACAATAATATGCATGATATACATTGAGACACAAAAGGTTAATCGAACTTAAGCACGTAGTTCTGAAAAAGAAAAGTGAAAGGTTTTTCTTCCCTGAGGTGTGCAAGGAAAATAAAAATGTCCTATGTAATAACATGTAGTATAAAATAATAAAATTTAAAACTAAGGGCTTTTTTTATAGATTGTTCAAACTTCAAAGATACATGATTTCGGAAAACATATTTCTTTATCTGATAAAAAAAAATGGATCTCTTATTTATTTTAAAAGATAATAAAATAAATGGAAACTGAGGCATGTCATGACGAGCACCTAATGACTAGGTTACCATTCTTCGCACAGTGGTTAGCAGCCCACTTTGTTATGGAACCAGTATCACACTAGTTTCATTTGCTGACCAAGTGTTTTTAGTCCTTGATGCTGCTTTATGATGATCTGAAGTTTCATTTCATCTAAGCACCACAAAAGATGGAAATTATGTGGATAAGAAACCCAAAGAGGTGGAGCCGGTTGATGAAGATTTGGGGTCTCTTGAGCTTAGGCAGACCTATCACTAAAAATTGTTTGCAGACAATTATAAATTGGTTCCGAGGTAATTGTCTATTTTCCTGTTGTTGCTAGAGTGGGTGTGGGCATGGTTGCTTTTCGTTTATGTTATTAGATGGCGCTAGAATTCACATCTTTTTCTTGTGGTCCAACTTTAATCAATGAAAGGCAGCCGGATGATTCCTATTGCGTTGAAAGATGACTCTCAAATTTGGAAATACATTGGATTGATTTGTTAGTCTTGGGGGTTCACAGTTTCTAACCTCGAGGCCCTAATTTAATGGCTAGGCCAAGAATTGCACAATACCTCATTGGGAGTCCTTTGATTCCATATGGATTGCTACCTTTAATTTCACTTCTATGATAATGTCAGTCAAGATTGGGTGGGGTAATGGATATAGCTAAGCTGCTAGTTTGATCTGCCTAGAAGAAAAGAGCTAGAAGGGTTCAGTGTACTGTACGGTATGGGTTGAGATAATTGGAAATCTGTTATAATGGTTGGCCTGGCTGTTATAGCGTTACAGTTAGTTTGTTGTTATAGGAATGTGGTGGTTAGTTGTGAGAAGCAGTCACTGTAGGGAGGGATCAGAGCTCGGAGGAGGGAGGACATGTAGTCACAACAAAAATGAGAGTTCAAGCCTCTTGTAAGCTAGGGAAATAAAAGAATCACTCTCAATTCTTATTAACCTCATAATTCTCTAACGTAAAGCCCAGTCCACAGAGAGTCCAAGGAGCTATATCCTTAAGCACAGTGATCTTATCCTACTGCAGCACTCACTGCAAAGTGGTGATGGCAGGACAACTTCTTTTTGGAGGACTGATCATTGGATCAGAGACAAGCCCTTCAGTACAAATTTCCCCCGATTATTTGCTATTGCTGAAACATAGAATGCTTACCCGAAGTTTGGGTCACAAAAAATAGCTCCTGCATTTTGAACTTTTGTAGAAACCTCAAAGTAGATGAAATCACATGGTGGGCCTCTCTTTCCCAGCTAATTCCTTCTGCCATCCAACCACCACCAAGACCAGTTGGTTTAGAATCTCGATTACAAGGGCTCCTTTTCTCAAAATATGTGGTTTCATGCCTTGTCTTAGGGAATTACACTCACTCCAAGGAACTTTACAAGAAGATCTGGAAAGATCTCTGCCCCAAATAGATCAAATTCCTCTGTGGCAGATCAGCCACTCATGCCTAAACACTTAATACAGGTTGCTAAGAAAATGACATTGGGTTTATCTTTCTCCCAACTGTTGCTGTCTTTGCAAGGAAACAGGGGAGTCTCAAAGTCACATTTTTATTCATCGTTCCTTCAAGAAAAAAAGAATGTGGGCCAAAGTGTTTACAGCTCTCGGATGGAGTATTGCAGCACCAGCAGAATCCCTTGATTGGCTTCATTTGTTACTGATAGATCATCCTTTCAAGTCTATAAAGAGAACCTTGTGGTCCGTCATAGTGAGGATAGCTTTTTGGAAGATTAGAACGAAAGAAACTTAGAGGATTTTCCAAAACAGAGAAAGTTCCCGCTGGAAGTTTTAGAAGCTTCTCATTATACTGCTATGTGTTGGTGTAAAAATTTGGTTTCTTTCAATAGCTACATCTTAAATTCTCTCTAAACAAATTGAAGAAATATTTTATAATCCAGTTTTAACTTTCATACCATTTTATTTAATGAATGAAATCGTGACCTATCCAAAAAAAAAAAAAAAAAAGAAACCATCTAACATAGTCTTTGATGCTTTTCTAGGAATGGATATAGTATAGTAATGACCACCAGTCTCTCATCAGATGTACCTGTTGGATACTTCTCCTGGGCCGAGTATGATATCATGGCACCAGTGCAGGCTAAGACTGAGAATTCCCTTGCAGCTGCTTTCATTTCAAATTGTGATGCTCGTAACTTCCGCTTGGAAGCTCTTGTGGCTCTTGAAAAACTGAACGTCACAATCGATTCATATGGTGCTTGCCACAGAAATCGTGATGGAAGCACAGGTGCAATTTATTAAGTTTTCCTTGTGACCACAAATACATATATTGTTTTGTTCATCTGTTAAATCGCTAGGCTTTAAGGTTTAGATTTGTTTCCTTGTTGTTTGTAATCTGCTTTTGATTTTAAGTCACATAACAATCAGTTTTTCTTCCTCTATGATTAGTTCTCATCTTATTGTTTGTGATTAAGAAAGAGGAAATTTCTCATAATTCGTTGTTTCTAATTTAATTCTAGTGTTGCATTTGATGGTTTTTGCTTATCAGTCATTTTTGCTGTTATGTGCTTAAATGATAATGGGGTGCTTCTAAGTTTTGCTATATTTTAAATCCTGAATGTGACAGACTTAGGAAACATGAACACCTTCGACTTAGTTTGAGGCTTTTTTTTTTTCTTTAATTAATTAATTTATGTTTATTATTATAAAAAACAGAAACTTATATTCAACAAAAGAGCCAAGAAGAGCAGCCTAATGGCAAATGGTTGAGATTACCCTTCCCCACAAAACTGATTTGTACACCACCAAGAGGCATTGTGTTGAACCAAAATCCAAAAAAGAGTTATAAAACGGGGACTTATCTTCAGGAAACCGGTCATTCCTTCCCCATATTGCTTTGAGGCAAATGGATACACTATTTTATGATGATTTTCCACTTTGGTTCAATCTTGGTTACATTTGAAACGTGTAAAGGATGCACTTTGCGACACACTCAAGTCATACTGTTGCCGGCACTAATAAAAGAACGTGATAACTTTTCAAGTTAAAAATGTTTACATCAAGTAACTCCGATACTAATTAAGAATGTGAACCAATGAACGCTGGGGGGGGGGATGAGAGAACAAATAAGTTTCATCTGGTAAAACCTGATTGGCCGGGTGTGAGATGTAGGAGATGTTTGAGTTGAAAGATTTGTTCATGAGGCTTTCATACTTGGTGGGTTATTTGGCTCATTTTGCTGTATAATGTATGCCCTTAGAGTATAATTTACTTTATGATATTCTGGTCATCTCATAAATACGGATCACGTGTCAGATGCTTATACTTGGTTTGTTAAACTTATTACAGGGGATCAGAGATTTAGATTTTTACCATTTAATCGTAATGAAAAGTTTTGTAATACACATTTTGTATTGGCTCTTTGCAGTGAACAAACTAGAGACTCTAAAGCACTACAGGTTCAGCTTGGCTTTTGAGAATTCCAACGAGGAAGATTATGTGACTGAAAAATATTTCCAATCTCTAGTTGCTGGTATGCAAATTAGATCACTTCACTGACTCTTGGATATTCTTTTCTCCCCCCTCGAATGCTTCATTCAATAATGAGGTCTTACATGATCATATTTCTTTTGCATATTACTTGAATTGTAGTTTACAACGATGAAGAGTGGGTTGAAAGTTATTCCCTCATGTTTTCAAATTTTATATTTTAATTTGTCTTATGGGTAGTGGATAAAAAATTATTCCACTTATCGTTCCAAAATCCAGTCCTTGTATTTGAAAGCTGTGGTTTTTTTTTTTCTTTTTCTTGTCGTTGTTGTAGGAGCCGTTCCAGTGGTTATTGGAGCTCCAAACATTCAAGAGTTTGCTCCTTCACCTGCTTCGCTTTTGCATATCAGGAAGCTTTCAGATGTTGAGTCAGTTGCCAACTCTATGAAATACCTTGCGGCAAACCCTGAGGCATTCAACAACTCATTGAGGTGAAAATTAAATTTGTATTTGTTTGTTCATTGGACAACTATCAGGTCTATATTCTGACGTTCCACCCCAACTTTGTGCATCTGGTCTTTCCCATTTTAGGTGGAAATATGAGGGTCCATCTGACTCTTTCAAGGCACTATTGGATATGGCAGCAGTTCATTCGTCATGTCGCCTTTGCATTCATTTGGCAACTAGTATTCATGAGACAGAAGAAAAGGGTCTAGCATTTAAAAATCGACCCTGTAAATGCACCAGAGGTCCGGAGACCGTTTATCACTTATATGTGAGGGAAAGAGGAAGGTTTGATTCAGAGTCCATTTTCTTGAGGTAATCTATATACTCTTTTCAAGATTACTGGATCACTCAGAGTTGTCTATTTTCTCTTGAACAAATTTCACCACAAAGCTAGGTGTTGCATCATCCAGGCTACGTTGATATAGCTGAAAATGCCTGTCTTAATTGGTTCAAAGATTTACTAAGTTCCTGTTTGGATTTACTTTCTAAGTGCTTCCAAACAAACCGCCTAAAGTTTAAGATTGTGAAGTGTGGTAGGACACTTACCTGAACAGGGTTTGAACTATAGGTGGTAGCATGCAATGTGATTAGACTTGTTAACTCTTAAGTTATACGAATTTAACTGGTCCAGATATTCTTCTGCCGAACAGAATGTCTAAGACCTTAGTTTGCAGGTCTAGTAATCTGACGGTTGAAGGGCTGGCGTCAGCAGTGGTTTCGAAGTTCAAATCGCTGAAGCACGAACCGATTTGGAAGCAGGAGAGGCCTAAGAGCTTAAAAGGAGGGGACGAATTAAGGTTGTATAAGATATACCCAGTTGGGTTGACACAGAGGCAAGCTTTATATACCTTCAAATTTCAGGGGGACTCTGATCTCAGAAGACACGTGGAAGATAACCCGTGTGCTAAATTTGAAGCAATTTTTGTATAGTTCGAAGGTTGTTTCATTTCTCATTCGACTCGGTTAGGCACGAGCTTCACAGACCTTGTAAATGTTCTTTTGAGATAGATACTGGCTAACACCCACTTTAGTTTAGAGAGGAAATTCACTGCTATATCTCTTCACAGGAGAACTTAATACTAAATTTTCATTTGTTTGGGTCAAGATAATTTCATTTTTCATTTTTCTTTCGAGAGTTGTTTTTGTTAGGAATCACGAACATCCATAATGGTATGATATTGTCCACTTTGAGCATAAACTCTCATGAATTTACTTTAATAGACCCGATGTACCAATGATTTATTTAGTTATTTAAGTTTCTATGCTTTGAGTTTGTTGAATACAATAAAGTTGCATCTTATTAAAGAATTTTCAGATTTCTATACTAATACGAGCATAGTTCAATATTTAAGGTACTAATGTTGGATCGCTTGTACAGAGCTTAAGTTATCTAAAATAATTGGTCTGAGACAGACAAAATATTGGGAGGAGACTGTGGGGAACCAGTTTCAAGCAAAAAGCTTCTACTACAATATGATCTAGATGTGCTTGATGAAGAAGCAAGGTACCTTCCATCTCCACACTGAAAAATCACATCACTTTTATGCATTTTTCTCTTGCTCATGCTCTGCCTCCCTTCATTGCCTCCATATTCTTCATCGTCAACAGCTTCTTTGAGCCCTTGATGCATCGGGTCCGAACTCTCGTACAATAGTCGAAGCACCTGTTTAATCGAGGGCCTCGCCCTGCCTTCTCCCTCAGTGCACCATCTCACAATTGACACCACTGTGTGAAGTTGGTCCAAATTAAAAGAACTCTTGATACTTGAATCTACTAGTTCGGATATCCTCGAATCTGAAATCATGTACGCCAGGGACCATTCAACCAAGTTCTTCCCGTCTTGTATCGCCCGTCTGCCTGTAACTATTTCCAGAAGTAGCACGCCGTAGCTGTATATATCACTTTTCTCGGTAAGCTCTTGCGTGATAACATACTCGGGATCCATATAACCTGAAAGTCATTAGCATTGTGATGTTACTAGCTTATTAAATGGTAATATCAAACAATAAGTTGAACAACTCGTTGTCTCCCAAACCTGGCGTTCCCCGGATATCGGTATTAACGGGTTCAAAGAAAACCGAACCACCCTTTGAAGCATGTGCAAGGCCAAAATCGGCAACCTGGAAGATAAGATAGGATAATAATAGGTTCAAAGAAAAGGGCAAGATTTGTCATTACAGATGAATTTTCCAAGTTACCTTAGCAACAAAGTTCTCATCCAGCAAAATGTTGCTGGACTTGATGTCTCTATGACACAGTGGGGGATCACAATAGTAGTGAAGGTACTCCTGCAGAGGGCAAGTACAAGTGAAAATGGTTTTCCTTCACTAAAAAATTGCTTAGAACAGCTTTTGAAGATGGTTAAGCTATTAGTTCATTAGCTCTTGATGGGAACAGGGATATCAGCAAGCTACCAGAGCATTAGCGACATCGATGGCGATTTGGATTCTTGTCTGCCAACTTAGAGGGGTCCTGCCAGGAGCTGCACGAACGCGAGAACGTATTCATTTATACACTAATCCAAGGGAGGATGATAAAAAGAATCTCTTTCGTTTGACCGAAACACTTCACAAAGCCTAAAGCACTACAGAAATCATTTTTGGGCTTTCTCTTTAAGGTTTTAAAACGCGTCTGTTTGGAAGCGGTTTCCACACCCTTTTAAGGAGTATTTCGTTCCCCTCTCCAACTAATGTGATATCTCACAATCCACCCCCTTCGGGGCCCAGCACCCTCGCTGCATACCTCAGTGTTTAGCTTTGATACCATTTGTAACAGCCCAAGCCCACCGCTAGCAGATATTGTCCTCTTTGGGCTTTCTCTTCAAAGGTTTTATAACGCGTCTATTAGGGAGAGGTTTCCACACCCTTATAAGAAATGTTTCGTTCCCCTCTCCAACCGACGTAGGATCTCACTCTTTCCAACCATATGGAACAAAAAATGACTCAAACGAAATTTCATCATGGAATCTTCTTTTCATCTAAAAGGAAAGAACAAATGAGGACTGAGTGTGTTGAAGAGATGAACATACCATGAAGATGATCCTTCAAGCTTCCATTAGCCATATACTCATACACAAGAAACCTGCCAAGGGGAAACAAAAAAGTACCCATTTCATGTTGTTGGCATATGATGTTAAATGCCTCACCAAAAGTATAACATTTAGTGAACTACCGTTCATGCTTCTCGACACAAAAGCCTCTTAAAGCAACGAGATGTCGGTGATGTAATCTCGCAAGCAGCTCGATTTCTCTGCCAAATTCATCCTCCCCCTGCTCGGAGACTTTGTTCATCCTCTTCACAGCTAGCACTAAGTCTTCACTGAATTGAGCTTTATAAACAGTCCCATATCCTCCTTGTCCAATTGTTGTACTAAAACTATCTGTTGCCTTCTTGATCTCCTTATAGCTGAACTTTTTAAACATGGAAGGTCCTGCATGGAAGTTGCTAATGCTAAGCAAAGAACTTGAAAAATGACAGGGCTAAAGATAATTCGTCGAACCTTCCTGATACTTTTTGATGGGACGAGAAGGGAAGGATCTTGAAGAGTTCGCATCCGTCTTCTCGGAATCCTTTAGCTCTCTGCTTTTCCTTCGGATCAGCATAATCAAGACAACCAGCATCATTACAGAAGCTACAGTCACTGCAATGCCAATGCCTGCCACTAATGTTACATGGTAGGAATGATGTCGATGACGTTTACCATCAGAAACACCTAGCGCCAGTGGCCCGGGACTTGCAGCAGCTGATGGACTTGGGGAAATATCCTGGGTAGCCGAAGATGGAGGTGGAGCTGAAATGAGCATGAAAATTGAAATCACACTATACTCTAAGTAGGAGAAGAGGGATTTGAGAAAAAATCAAATCACCACCAAATATGCTGAACAAGAAAATCATGAGCAGAAAAATAGCTCCCTTCTCTCTGTGCACCATCAGCTCACCCGATATCCTCTTGAGCCCACCGCTAGCAGGCCTCCCCTCAAGGTTTTTAAAACGCGTCTGCTAGGAAAAGGTTTCCACACCCTTATAAGGAATGTTTCGTTCTCCTCTCCAACCGAGGTAGGATCTCACAGTCCACCCCCCTTAGGGGCTAGCGTTCTTGCTGGCACACCAACCAATGTCTAGCTTTGATAGCATTTGTAACAACATTCCCAATGTCTAGCTTTGATAGCATTTGTAACAACATTCTTTATAAGGGTATAGAAACCTTTCCCTAACAGACGTGTTTTAAAAAAAAAAACTTGAGGGGAAGCCCAAAGACGACAGTATCTACTAGTGGTGGGCTTGGGCCGTTACAAAGACAATAGCCTAAACAGGGAGCGGGGCTGGTGATCTAAGGTCTAAAACTAGGTGACAGATGGAATAGAACAACGTGCATTATGCAAATGCTAGCTATTGAACTTCAAGTGTTTGCAGTAAAAACAGCAGAAGAAAACACATAGCCTTGCAAGGATCACCAAGCCTGCCTAGCTCTTACAAAGAGAAACTAAGCTTTCTTATATATTCCTTACCTGGAGGCCTGTTAAGACCTTGAACTCCAAAGAAGCAGCTTGCAAGATCAATCACTGAAGCAGCATCAAGTTGGCTAGCAAGTGCAACAAACGTAGCATCACGACAGGTATTCAATGTTATATTATCTTCTCTCCCAATAAGATTGCGGAGATATAAAATCCCAGCATTGATACACTTCCTACAAGCACTCTCCTCTGATAGCAGCACTCTGCAATTCTCCCCAACTTTCGTGAACTTCGGAGATTCCAGCATCTGCGTGACGGTTTCTCGGCCTCTACACGCGTAGTTTACTGGAATTTTCGTTCCAACCCCACAGAAAACCATGGCATTTCTAGGAACTCCATATAGTTCCATGGTTTGAGATATAGATTGCAGGCAAATGTTGGTTAAGTTTGAAGAAACTCCTAGTTCACCAGTTGAATTTGCAAGCTGAGCCACAGAAACTGCAACAAATGCATTGATATAGCGGCAGCACTTCCCTCTTTCATTGGGATTAGAGCAAATAGAAGCAACTAAAGTAAAGTTTGATCCACTCAAATTCAAGGGACAATCTGTGAAGTTTTCAGAACAATATGAAATTAGCAAAATCAACATGAAATGTTCTTCATCTTGGCCCAAAAACAATGAAAGAATCAAAACAAAGCTCAGCTAAACCCACGAAAGAAACTTCGTTGAGGATTGTTGGGAGGAGAGTCCCACATCCGCTAATTAAGGGATTGATCAAAAATGTTCTTCATCATAACCCAAAAACAATGAAAGAATCAAAACTAAGCTCAGCCAAACCAATGAAAGCAACCTCCCAAGTGTCGAGGATGGTTGGGAGGGGAGTCCCACGTTGGCTAATTAAGGAGTTGATCATGGGTTTATGAGTACGGAATACATCTCTATTGATATAAGACCTTCCCGGAAAACCAAAAGTAAAGCTACGAGAACTTTCACTCAAAGGGGACAATATCATACTATTGTGGAGGTTCGTGATTTCTAATAACCAGCTCCACAAATAGAGGGTAAAAACAAATAGAGGGTAAAAAGTATCCCAGAAGTCAACACAGATGCACATTTCAAATGGACCTTCTTCAAAGACAAACCAGACCGACAGACCTTGAATCATTCCAGAGACCTTTTCCATCGTAGATTCACCGTATTCTAAAGAACACTAAAAACCCATATCAACGAACACGATTGTTCTCAAAAACTACCACTAGATTATAGAAATCGACTCCAGAAAACAAATCACAGTGAAAAAGGAAAGATCAAAAGAGAGCCAGAAATGGGATTAAGAGACTGACCCGCCATTGTTTCTGGAAGCTGCAGCTGAAGAAATAGAAGAAACCCCATTAGAAACAAAGCTCTGCTCAGTGCGGTGGCCGCCGCCATGATCAAGACAGAGATCCACCAAGCTCTCGCCGCCGGAGCTAGCAAAGATGCCGGTGGCGACTGTTTTAGCACATTTAAGAAGCATCAAAAGGGGAGAGTGAAGAACCTCCGAGCAATGGAGTTTCAAATGTGAACGCGTTTCAAATCTGTTTCTCCCAATTTGTTACATGGTTTCTTGTTACATTTCCCACGAAATATATTAGTACCCAAAAAACCCATGTCAGTGCCACTGACAATTATAAAAAGTACCCAAAAAAAAAAACGGGATTTAAAATTTGGGTATCGAAAGAAGAAGATTACATATTGCAACTTGTGGTTTATATGAACAAATGACGTCAAAAAACGCCCACCAAACAATCTTCACAGTACATTTATTAGAAAAATACGAAGTAATTGAAAAAATACGTATTATTTCTCATTAATTTATCACATTCTAACAGAAATCATTTGTTTCCATGTTCAATTATTGGATCAATCCAGGTTTAGAATGCTAAAACAAAAGGAAATGGCAATAAGAACACATTATCCTAAATGAAATCTTCCTTTTTTTTCTTTTTTTTCTTTTTTTTTTTTTGTTCTTTTTCACTTTAGTGCAAAGGAAAATCTGAAATTCTTTAATCTTAGCTGAAGAATATCTTGAAAAAGCCTACTCTTACGCTTCCAAAAAGCTTTCATTCCATAATCAAGTTCATGATTACTGAAAATTATATGAAATGATTCGTTAATTACTTCATGGTGAAGCTAAAACTCAAAACATAAACACCCTGAGAGGGATATGAAATCATTTAGAAGCAGGCTGCAGCACATAACAATGGGTCAAGAACAGTTTCATAATGTAAGTCAGAGAGAAAAGGACCACATATTCCTATATCCATTTCCTCTCCTCTCTCTCCCACCTCTACTTCTCTCTCTCTCTCTCTCTCTCTCTCTCTCTTAGAGAAAAAGGCCCATTTCAGAAACCTCTCTCTCTCATAGAGAAAAAGACCCATTTCAGGAACCTCTCTCTCTCTCTATGTAGTATATACATAGTAGAACAGAGTAAACAAAAACCCTTTCCCCCTTCTCTCTCTCTCTCTGTATGTAGTATTATACATGGTAGAACAGAGTAAACAAAAGCTCTCTCTGTCTCTGTCTCTCTCTCTCTCTCCGTCTCTCTCTCTCTCTGTATTATACACAGTAGAACAGAGTAAAAAAGACCCATATAACCAAAATCCCATTTTTTCACATACGCTCGTTCGCTCTCTCAATGGAATATTATAGCATTACAGAGAGAAAAATGGACTCTCATATAAAGAAAATCCTCAATTAACTTTATTATAGTAAATCAGAGAAAGAAAAAAACCCATTTTCCCCCTTCTCTGTTCTTAACAGATATTGCATTGTTCTTGTTCATGGAGCGAGCTTTGTCCATCAGAAACATAAAATGTAAACAAAAAAAAAAAAAAAAAAAAA